CACTGGTTCCACCATCAGTAATGTGGACTGGATCCCAACCTGTCCTCACTGCGATCGCATCTTCACCCCACGCATCGGCAGGTTCAGTCACTACGATTATATCACACAGAGACTGGCGAACCAGTGCTTGGAGCACCAACATGCACCAGATGCCATCTCCTTAATTGCCCACATTTACCTCGCAAATCCAGCCGTGCATGAGCCTATTCGGTCACATGCGTCTCCAAGAAAGTCTGTGGTGAATCGATGTGACAGTTCGACCATCGTTTTCGATTATGTCCACCGTGTGCCCCACAGTTACAGCAGCAATGAGAGCAGGGACGGTGACTTACGCAGGGATTTATAGTGCCGGTAGACTTGCGTAGCATCTACCTACACTCTCTCCTCCTCCCTCGCCCAAGCCCGGTGTCAAGACAGAGTCAAGAAGACCGGAGACGAGAGAGGCCGCAGGTGGATGGCTCGGACGGATCCTCACCTTGGCGTTCCACCACACCCCCTGGTCCACACAAAAAATGACCAGGATTTCAACCAACACAACAGAGATTTGGAGGCTGGCAAGGCCGAAGCCGCACCTGGGCTTGCCGCCAACGCCTGGCTCGGATCCCACACTGTGATGGGAGTGCCATAAAGGCCACATTAAAAAGGAGTCATTGCAGCCTGACTCTCAGACCGCCTCCGATCAAGGAGGAGGTCCAAGTTACCCCGTCAGTTGGCAACCTTCCAAGCCACGGCTTTTAGCGCACCGTGATAGCTTCAAGCGCGTCAAATTTTTTATAGTGAGGAGTAAGTGCGCTGAGCCGTCGACCTCACTCTCCCTTCCCACTCCCACACCCCAGCCGCTGTCCGAGCCCGTCAGCAGACTGGAGTGGGGAATGGGCGCGGTGGCTGTCATGGTCGAATGACCATGACTGCGCGCGCCACAGCACGACCTGGCCCCCCATGCACACAACACCAGGATTTCACACAATGGGGATTGAACGGCGTGTCTCTCACTTGCGTGAGAGTGCCGTGGAAGGTGCTGTTTCAGCCCGTTCCCGGCCCACCAGTCCGCCACTCCACACAACACACACACACACACACACACACAACGCGACGAACTGCGTAAACCGAGAGCGGGCGTCAATCAGCAACCTTCCTATCCACGACGCTTGACGTGTCGGGATAGTCTCGGACTCAAGTCACTCGTGCAGCCGAAGCCGCATGGGGACCGAGTCGAGATGCGGACTTCCCACTTGCTTGGGAGGTGGCAGTTGGGTGCATGAGGTGTGTGAGTGTTGATTTCTGGTGGGGTGATGGTGGTGGTGGAGGAGGTAGGGAGTGTGTGGATGTGTGGTGTAACCGGCGGTTGTCTACCGCAGCTCGTCGTGGATGCGCATGTGGCCGAATAGGCCCATGCGATGCCTGAAAGTGCGAGGGCAGTGT